CCCCGTCCCTTGCCCTGGCACAGCCCCCTGGCACAACGGGACCCCCCAGGGCAGGGATGGCCCGTCCTGCCCGTGCCACATCCAATGTCCATCACTGGAGGGGCCACGCTGCGGTGGCACGTGGCGGTGGCACTGGCAGCACGTGTGAGCCCTGCCAGCCACTCTCGGTGTCCCAGCTCTGTTGTCACCCGCTGAGGTGGCACGTGGCATCCAGAGGGACGGGTGGGAGAGCTGGTCCCTCCCAGTGCCTCGGGCATGGGAGAAGCCATCGATCCCGGCTGGCTGCAGTCCTGCGAGGGGGGGGGTGGCCTCGGGGGGATGCTCGTTGCTCCCTCCTCCAGGAATGGGGTTGAACGGGAGCTGAGGCTCGGGAAAAGGGGTGTGGAGCACCCCTGGGGCTGGCTGGGCACAGGGGTGCCCGGTGAGCCCGTCCTGAAGCAGCAGGGCAGAGAGGGGAGGTGCCGAGGTTACGGTGTTTTAAAGCAGCAGAGAAAATACTGGGCCAGCAGAGCCCAATCCCAGTGGGATGCTTCCCAAAATGGGAGGGTCTGCAGGAAGTCCCTGGGTCGTCCCCCCTCCCAGTGGTGTGTGGCAGGTTGGGGTTGCTGAGGTTTGGGGGGATACCTGGAGCCTCTCACATCCTCAGTGCCTGGAAAGAGGCCTCTTGTGCTGATGGCCTGGAGGCTCAGGGGCTGTGCAGGTGGGTGGTGAACACGGCACAGTTTGGGGTATCTGTGGGGGAATGTCCTCTCAGGGGGGCTGGGAAAGCATCCTCACCTCCTCTGTCTTCCCACAGCAAGCTGACACGGGAGAGTGGGACAGACTTTCCCATCCCTGTCATCCCCCCAGTGCCAGATGTGGAGACGGAGAAGCTCATCCGGGAGAAGGACGAGGAGGTGAGTGTGGGGGAGCCCCCCCAGCCCCCCTTTCCCCTCTCTGCAGCCCCAGCCGTGGCACGTCCATCGTGGGCCACCCTTCCCGCACCATCCCAGCAGCTGCTGCTCCTCAGGCCAAGGGTCAGGAGGTGCTGAGGGGCATCAGAAGGTTCCCCCCACTCACCTCCTGCCGATCCCGGCCCGCCTGGGGCTGGAAGTGCCGGCACCCCCCATGACCCCTGCTCTGCTCCCTTCCAGCTGCGGCGGATGCAGGAGATGCTGCAGAAGATCCAGAAGCAGATGAAGGACTCACACTAGCCTCTTCCTCCGCCTCCTCCTCCTCCTCCTGCTCCCGGCCCCCGGATCAGAAATGTTTACATCCCGCTCCGCCCCGCCCG